AGTCTGTGCACGCGTCTCATGTCGCCAGTTCATTGGACCTGATGTTCTGTCCACGCGATCTGAAATCATCCTTGGCATAGAAACCTCTTTCTAATTAATCTGTTTTTAGAGTTTTACTAAATTTGCAGGTGTTTCATTATCTTCAGTTGCTCAAGGTTTTCTTTCTATAAACATATTAGGTTCTCAAACCTTATAATTAGACACACAGCTAACAAGTATAAGCATCACATATTTTCACACAGTCTATAAGTATAAACAATACACGCTTGTCACTTCCATGGCAAGCAAGGCCTACAGAGTGCAGGAAAAACTGTTCACAGAAATCTCTGTGTCCAGCAACAGGTCCTCCCATGGCTGATGGAGTTGGAGCAGCGGCCGAAGCTCTTCCCGCAGTCGGGGCACTCGGGGCTTCTCTCACCGGTGGGTCCGTTGGTGTTTGGTTAAGGCAGAGCTCAGGTGAAGCTCTTCCCACACTCCCCACATTTCTAGGGCCTCTCCCTGGTGTGGATGCGACGATGGGTGCAGAGGGTGGACCAGCTCCTGAAGGTCTTCCCACATTCCCCACACATGTAGGGCCGTTCCCCAGTGTGGATGTGCAGCTGGGTAAGAAGAGTGGAGCTGTCCCTGAAACTCTTCCCACATTAAAAGCACTTTTAGGGCCTGTCCCTGGTGTGGATGTGCTGGTGGTTGTGGAGGGTGGAGCTCTGGGTGAAGTTCTTCCCACATTCCTCACATGTGTATGGTTGTTCTCCAGTGTGGATGTGCTGGTGGGTGTGGAGGTTGGACCTCTTCCTGAAGCTCTTCCCAAACTCCTCACACATGTGGGGCCACTCCCCAGTGTGGATGTGCTGGTGGCTGAGGAGGTCAGAGCTCTTGCTGAAGCTCTTCCCACATTCCAAACACCTGAAGGGTTTCTCCCTGCTGGGAGGCTGCTCAGGGACCACCAGCTCGCAGCTCCGCCTCAAGCTCCGGCCGCCTTCCCGGCACACGCTGGCTCTTTCCTCCTCACAGCCCCCTGGGATGGCTTTGGAGCCCCTCCTGCGGGGGCATCTCCGGCCCTTTTCCTCCCCGCTGCCTTCCTGCGCCGGGGAGCCCTTCAAAACGGCCTCTCCCACCAGGCTCTGCCGGGGGGATTTGTCCTCCGCGCTCTCCGGCCTCACCTCGGGGCCTGGGGCAGGAACCAACAAGGACACGCAGGGGATTTGCCTCCGGCCCACAGGGAAGCCCAAGGACATCCCCCCAACTCCGGCCCCGGCAGGACGGCCACAAAAGACAAAAGACCCACCCAAAGGGGCACTGACTTCCTCCTCACCTGCCTGGGGGGCCCAAGGCATCTTCCTCTTCCTTGCAGCCTCCTCCTCCATCTGCCCAAGCTTTGGGAAGCAGAAATCCTGATGGGGGGGGAAAACAAGGGGTGAGCGCGTTGCCTTGGGGGTTCCTCCTGCCCAAGTCCAGCTCTAGGACTCACCAGGCATCTTGTGTCCATAAAAACTCCCAAAACATCAAGATTTAGACCAGACAAACAGAAAACATCACCATTTGGGAAAAAAAAATCCCAAAACTCCCCACAAATTTGCAAATGATCAAGAGTCAGCAAAATAATACTCCAAAATATGAACATTCAGTTCAAAAAAACACTCCCAGAAGTTCCCCCTCTCTGGTCTCTGCACATTTACCTTCAGGGGGTCTCCCCTCTCTGGGCTGCTGGGGGTCCCGCTTAGGGATGCCGGGGCTTTTGGGGGTCCCAGGGGTCCCTTCTCCCCTCACTCTCTGCTTCAGGGGGCCGGGTTCCCAGACATTCCCCCTCTCCGCCTTCTCCACTTTCTTGGCCCGGGGATCCCAGGGGTCCCCACTGCCCAGGCTCCCCCTTCTCCGGGACCCCCCTTGCAGCCTCCCGGGGCTCCTCCCTCTCCCTGCTCCCCCCTCCAGCCTGCCGGGGGTCCCCCAGCTCCGCCATCGCCCCGCTCCGCTCTCCACACTCCGGGGCTCCCGCCCTTCCTCCCCCCACCCCCGGCTCTCCCGAGGGCTCCCCAAACCCGCTGCCTCGGCTCCCTCCGGCTCCCCCGGACCAGCCCCCCCCGCCCACACCGGCCTCACAATGGAGCCGCCGGGGCCTCACCCACCAACACCAACCCCCAACAAGGGGGGGACCCGCAGCCCCCCGACCACCCACGGGGCTCTGCCCACAACCCACCCCGACACCGCCCCAAAACACCCCCCGGGGACCCCCAGCAGCCCCCCGGCACACAGCCCCGCACAAGGGCCGCCTGTGCCCGAGCCAACAAAACGCCCCCACAGCCGGGGGGACACCAGAGGCTGCCCCGGGGCAACGAGAGCAGGGAGCGGATCGGGCCCCGCACACGTGGCCGGGCTCTTGGCTCAGCCGGCCGGGATCGGCAACCAACAGCACGGCCCCGACCGCCGGGGGGGAGAAAAACAAGGGGTGAGCGCGTTGCCTTGGGAGTTTCTCCAGCCCAAGTCCAGCTCTAGGACTCACCGGGCATCCTGTGCCCATAAAAACCTCCAAAACACAAAGATTCAGCCAAAAAAACCCTCCCAGGAGTTCCCCCTCTCTGCTCTCTGGGGTTAGGGGGGTCCCCCCTGTCTGGCCTGATGGCACTTCTGCCTGCATTGGGGGTCCCCCTTGTCCGGGTTGCAAGGGGTCCTGTGGCTCCGGGGGGTTCCCACTCGCCGGGGTCCCCTTTAGTGTTGCCAGGGGGGTCCCAGGGCTCACTTCTCCCCACTCTGCCTCCCGGGGCCGGCCGGCCCTCCTCTCTCGCCTCCCACCCTCGCAAACCTCTTGGCGCTCTCGGCTCCCACCCCGCCTTAAGGCCCCCCGCGTTAAGGGCCCGGCGCCTCCCTCTTCTGTCCCCTCAGATTCCGGGGGTCCAAGCTCCGGGATCGCCCCTCTCCGCCTCCCCACTCCGCGGCTAACCGGGGGTTCCCCCCCGGCTCTCACGGGGCCCCAACCGCCTCTCGCCCCCCCGCCATTGCCGAGCGACCGCGGGAGCTTTTGGCATGCTTTCTTTGTGCTCCCGCTCGGTCCTCCCTCGGCTGGGCCGCGCTCTTGGCGGGTTCCTCCTCCGGGATCGCCCCCTGGCAGGCCCTTCCCCCCTGGCACAGCCCCCCTTGCCCCCTTGCCCCCCCTTTGCCCCCCAAGCCTGGCCTCCCGCGGCAGGGCAGCGGCTTGGAGCTGCGGCGGCGGGTATGTCGGCAGCGCTGGGCTCTTGGCCGACTCGCCCGCACTCGGCCCCCGCCGCAGCCCCCCATGGCCGGGACAGCGCGGGGGGGGCCCGGCCTGGCGCCCCCCCTCCCCTGCCCAAATTGCCGTCCGGGGGGCGCTGGGGGCGAGGGGGGGGCGCCGGTGGGCTCGAGGTGGGGAGCGCTGGGCGCTGCGGCTCTGCCTGCACACGGAGGAGTTGCCCCCGCAGCCGGGGGGGCTCCCGGCACCCCCAGTGCCCAGAAAGGTCTCCCCACATTTGGGCTTTGGGGGCTCTGGGTGGGCTCTGAGCGGGTTGGGGGGTCCCTGTGGGTCTGTGAGGTGGTTCTGGGGGGCCCCGGCCCCTTTTGTGGGGCGCTGGGTGCCGTGTTGGGGTGCAGGTGCCCCCAGAGCCCCCCAGAAAGGGGTGACACGGGAGGGGTGACACGGGGATTGAAATTCCCGATCCAAACCAGGGCCGGTTCTGCCCCCCACCCAACCATGGTTCCCCCGATGGGGTCTCCACAACCCCCTCCCCCTTCCCCGAGTATCTGAGACTGGGGAGAACTGGGAAGCTTTACTGGGAACACTGGGAGCAGCCAGCTGGGGTCAGAGTAAAAGCAGGGCCGGGGGGGGAAACACAATCCCCCAAAATGTGGGGGGACACCGGGATACACCGAGACCTGGACTGGAGCCAGCGGGACCAGAACTGGGGCAACAGGGATCATACTGGGAGCAACTGGGAGCGTGTTGGAGGCAACTGGGATATACTGGGAGTGGTTGGAACTGTAGGGGTGAATGGGAGTAACTGGAACCACGCTGGGGGCAACTGGGATCATACTGGGAGCAGCTGGACCCCTGCTGGGGTCATGCTGGGATCAGACTGGGATATTACAGGGAGCGACTGGGTCAGTCCTAGGGGCAACTTGGAGCAACTGGGATCACACTGGGAGGAACTGGGAGCAACTGGGACCATGCTGGGATTACAGTGGGAGAGCTTGGCCCACGGTGGGGACAACTGGGCCCGCAGTGAGGTTGACTGGGGTCATACTGGGAGTGACTGGGAGAATTCTGAGGGCAGTTGGGACCAGTTGGCACAACTGGGATATACTGGGAGCAAGTGGGATCATACTGGAGGTGACAGGGATCATACTGGGAGCATACTGGGAGTGACTGGGAGCATGCTGAGATCAACAGAGATCATACTGGGAGTGACTGGAACCATAATAGCGGGGAATGGGAGCAATTGGAACCATGCTCTGGGCAACTGGGATCATACTGGGAGCAGCTGGGCCCCAGCTGGGCTCATACTGGGATCACACTGGGGCTGACAGTGATCATACTGGGAATGACTTCAATAATACTGGGAGTATGTGAGAGGCACTGCAACCATACTGGGGATGACTGGGATCAAACTGGATTCATACTGGAAGTGTCTGGAAGTTACTGGGATCATACTGGGGGTGACTGGACTCATAGTGGGATCATACTGGGGGTGATTGGATGCAGAGTGGGATCATACTGGGAGTAACTGGGACCATGCAGGGGCAAATGGCCTCCTCCAGGCAGTGACTGAAAGTGCCTGGGACCATACTGGACTCAGACTGGGAGTCCCTGAGAGGGAAAGGAACCATCCTGGGGGGGGACTGGAAGCAACTGGGGCCACCTTGGGGCAACTGGGATCCTATTGGGAGTGACTGGGAGTGACTGGGATCCTAGTGGGAGTGACCAGAACCATACTGGAACCATCCTGGGAGTGACTATCATTGACCGGGATCATACTGGGAGTGACTGGAACTATTCAGGGGGGAACTGCTGGAAGCCAACTGGGGAAATACTTGGAACAACTGGGATCATCCTGGAAGAAAGTGGGAGTGACTGGGAGTGCCAGGGTGCATTCTGGAGGCAACTGGCAGAGACTGGGAGTGACTGGGAGTGACTGGGATTGTACTGATGGGAACTGGAAGCATCCTGAGGCAAGTGGAAGTAACTGGGTATGACTGTGAGCATGCTGAGGGCAACTGGGATCTACTGGGAGAGTCTGCAGCCATCCTGGGGGTGACTGGGAGCACACTGGGAGTGACTTGGACCCTGTGGGGGGCAACTGGGATCAACTGGAAGTGACTGGATCTACAAGGTACAACTGGCATTGGCTGGGACCATGCTGGGGGATGACTGGGATCATACTTGGATTGACTGGATCTGTGCTGGAGGCAACTGGGAACAACTGGGATCATCCTGGAAGAAAGTGGGAGTGACTGGGAGTGCCAGGGTGCATTCTGGAGGCAACTGGCAGAGACTGGGAGTGACTGGGAGTGACTGGGATTGTACTGATGGGAACTGGAAGCATCCTGAGGCAAGTGGAAGTAACTGGGTATGACTGTGAGCATGCTGAGGGCAACTGGGATCTACTGGGAGAGTCTGCAGCCATCCTGGGGGTGACTGGGAGCACACTGGGAGTGACTTGGACCCTGTGGGGGGCAACTGGGATCAACTGGAAGTGACTGGATCTACAAGGTACAACTGGCATTGGCTGGGACCATGCTGGGGGATGACTGGGATCATACTTGGATTGACTGGATCTGTGCTGGAGGCAACTGGGAGCAACTGGGATCATAAAGGAAGGAACTGGGAGCAACTGTGACCACACTGGGGATAACTGGGGTCATACTGGGATCACAGTGGGAGAAGCTTGGTCCATGCTGGGGGCAATGGGATCATCATGGGAGCCACTGGGCCCACTGTGAGGGTGACTGGGGTCATACTGGGAGTGACTGGGAGCATTCTGAGGGCAGTTAGGACGATGCTTGCAAAACTGGGATATACTGGGAGCAAGTGGAATCATACTGGGACTGACTGGGATCATACTGGAAGCAACTAGGACCACATTGTGGGCGACTGGGAGTGGCTGTAAGCAACTGGGATTATACTGGAAGGTACTGGGAGCAACTGGGAGTGAGTGGGACCACATTGGCAGCAACTGGGATATACTGGGAGAGACCAGGAATGACTGGGATCATACTGAGACTGACTGGGATCATAGTGGGAGTGACTGGCAGAGGCAGGGATCATACTGGGAGTAACTGGAACCATAGTCAGTGACTGGGAGGAACTGGGACCCTGCTGGGGGCAAATGGCTTTATCCTGGGAGTGCCAGGGCATGTCTGGGTTCATCCTGGGTGTGAGTGCCACCATCCAGGGTGTCACTGGGATCCTACTGGGATGGTCCTGGGGGGGACTAGGAGGGAGTGGAACTCTAGTGGGGTGACTGGGAGCAACTGGGACCATACAGGGGGTAACCTGGATCCTACTAGGAGAGACTGGTATCAGAATGGGAGTGACTGGGATCATAGTGGGATGATACTGGGCATGACTAAAAGTGAGTGAGATGATACTGGGGGTGACTGGGAGCATGTTGGAGGCAAGTGGGATCTACTGGGAGTGGCTGGGAGTGACAGGGATGATACTGGGAGTGAGTGGAAGCACAGTAGGGGTGAATGGGGGCTACTGGAACCATGCTGGGGGCAACTGGGCTCATACTGGGACCATCCTGGGAGTGACTGCAATACACCTGGGAGTATGTGAGACTCAACAATATGGGACTGCAACCATATGGGGGATGACTGGGATCAAACTGGATTCATACTGCAAGTTCCTGGGATCATACTAGGAATGACTGGACTCATAGTGGGATCATACTGGGAGCAACTGGGACCATGCAGGGGGAAAATGGAATCCTACAGGCAGTGACTGAAAGTGCCTGGGGCCATACTGGACTCAGACTGGGAGCCCCTGAGAGGGAAAGGAACCATCCTGAGGGGGGGATTAGGAGCAACTGGATCCACCTTGGGGGCAACTGGGATCCTATTGGGAGCAACTGGGAGTGACTGGGATCCTATTGGGAGTGAGTGGGAGTGACTGGGATCATAGTGGGAGTGACCAGGACCATACAGGAACAATCCTGGGAGTGACTGTCATTGACCGGGATCATACTGGGAGTGAATGGAACTACACAGAAGGGAACTGGGAGCCAGTGGGGCCATGCTCCAAGGAACCCCCAAACCCACTCAGAGCCCATCCTAACCCACCTAACCCTTTTTTTGGGGGGGACATTTATGGGCACTGGTGTTACTGGGAGCACCCCCGGCTGCAGGCGAGGAGCTCTCGGGTGAGAGGGGGTGTTGGGAAGGGGGGGTCGGTGAGTCAGAGGGCATAAAAGGGGTGGTGGGACCCCAAAATGAGTTGGAGGGGAGTGGGACCCCCCAAAAGTGGAGGGGGATGGAGACTGAGAATTGGAGGCTGATGGGAAAGGGGTGGGAGAGGTCAGAAGAGTGGGGAAAAGGGGAGGGCAGGACCCCCAAACTGAGCATGAGGGGGCTGGGGATTGGGGGATGATGGGTAAGGAGTGGGAGAGGAGGAAAAAGTGGGGATTGGGACCTCATAAGTGATCTGGGCGGGCTGGGAATTGAGGGGAACCATGGAAAAATCCTTGTCTAAAAGAAAACTGGGTGACCCGAGTGCTGGATGCTTTTAGTAAAGAGCTCTAAATATTTCTTGAACAATGGAGGGGGGTGACTTTTTTATTCTTGACCTTTCCAGTTCTCCATTTGGGGGCAGGATGTCCTCTGGGCCAATGTTTTGTTCCCTTTGCAGTGAGTGCAGCCTCAGAGGGCTGAGCCCTCTCTGGCTGGGCTTGGCCTCTCCTGCAGAGACTCAGGCCTGGCTGGGCTGCCCCAGGCAGACGCTGCAGGAAGAAGAGCTCAGGCCGCCTGGGTCTGGTGTCCCTGGGGCTCAGCCTGTGCCCCATTGCTGGGCAGGGGCTGAGCCCCACCTCTGCCTGGGGGCCTTGGCCAAAGGGCTGCCAAGGAAGAGGCCCAGGAGCCTTGGGGCCTGCCCAGCTTTCCTCCTCCCTGGGGGCTCTCAGTCCTCCCCTGACACCGGGTGGGCCCAAGGCCTTGCTGGCTTCGGGCTCACGGCCCGCCGGCACCATCCCAGCGGCCTGACCCCCCTCCTTCCCCTCTCTCCAGCCTCTCCTGCCTTTTCTGGCAAGGGGCCATCCAAGGCAAACCCCGGTTCTCAGCAATGGCACCTGTGGCACGGCTGCAAGGCTCCAGTGGGCCAGGCAAGAGCAGGAGCACCGAGAGCCTGAGGAGCCAGGAGATGCCCTGGCTGGGCATGGTGCTGCTGCGGGACGAGCTGACACCTCTGCACAGTCTCTGCCCGTCCCTGCCAGCCGACTTCTGCCCAGGCTCTGGGCACGGGGACGCAGCACTGACACTTTTCAGCCCCCGCGCTGTTCCACAGAGGCTCTGATGTCACAAGGCCCTTGCCTGGCAGCCAGGAGATGGGCAAGGCAAGGCAAGGACGGAGCCTTGGGCAACAGACAATGGATGATGGACAAGTTCTGGGCCATGGCCATTTGTTAGAAAAACAAAGGAAAAGTTTAAGGCCTGCCATATTTCAGTGGTCAGAGACCTGGCAGAGAAATCTATTTTTGAGACCTGGACACCAAGAAGGCAGAATTTCTAAACCACAAAGACCCTTAGAGAAACCAGAGACAAAGACAAAACTAACACAGCAGTTACTGAGGTTCTCCCTATCCAGGGAAAAGAAAAGAAAAGGACAAAAACTGTGGACTAAGCATCATGCAAAGTGAGAAATCAAGAGCCAATAGAAGAGAGAATAAGAATTCCTGCAGAGAACTGGTAAACCAATGGACAGGAATTCTTTTGTTTGCTAAAATGTAAAAATACTTAAAAGTTTTGAGAACTGATGTACATGTGTTAGAGAGCAATTCCTGCGTCCCTTCAGCGCTGAATGAAGTAGGGTCACCTCTGGAACCCAACCAACTGCTCAGAGATTTTATTCCCCGGCTTTCGCTGACGGTTTCTGGGGACCCAGATGAGACAAAGCAGCGCCGACAGGGCAGAGCAGAGGAATCGTTGGCCCTGCAGCGTGTACCAAAGGAGTTTTGGGGAGATCTTCCAATTCCCTGGTCTGGAGAGTTCACCACGCCTTCTTTTCTGGGAAAAAGAACAGGCCATGAATTTTGGGTACTTGATTTTAAGGCCTTTTGCCTGCACATAAGGCACAGCAATGGGAAGGACGCAGCGTGAGGCTGAGAGGTTTCTGTCATGGTTTGTGGGCTTGGGGGAGATTGGGCCAGAATTACAGGACA